TATGTCTCGTCGGGCGTGGAGACTCCTTGGGAGTCTCTGCCAAGGGGGCGCCGGGCACAATTGGTATTGGCCAGGCGTGAGACCTTGGGGAGGTCTTTGCCTTCCCTACGCTGAGCGCGGGTTCAGTACGCTGGACGCGTGAGACTCCTGAGAGTCTCTACCTTCGTTTGTGCTAGGCACAATTGGTATTGCGTCGGGCGCGTTTGAGCCTTGGAGCTCTCTAGTTGGTCCACGCCGGGCGTGAGTACTCCTGCGCCAGGTGCGAATGTGTTCTTTCTTTAATATGCTGATATATGCTGATATATGTTGGTATATGCTGATTTAAGCTGTTAATGATGAATGTTGTTGAGCTGAGTGATGATTGTGTTGTGCTGTGAGATGTTCATGCAGAATTATGATGTTTAAGCTATATTGTTGAAAAAGTTGAGTTGTGTCGTATGTTGTTAATGCTGCTATGTTGTGCTGTGCTGAATGCTGAATATAAATTGTTGTAGGCCGTAAGGCTGAGCTGTTGTAGGCCATAAGGCTGAGCTGTTGTAGGCCGTAAGGTTGAGCTGTTATAGGCCGTAAGGCTGAGCTGTTATAGGCCGTAAGGTTGAGCTGTTATAGGCTGTAAGACTGAGCTGTTGTAGGCCGTAAGGCTGAGCTGTTATAGGCCGTAAGGTTGAGCTGTTGTAGGCTGTAAGGCTTCTAATTAAAACTTTAAGAATCAAAATTGCAAAATTGTAATAATTGAAGGATCAAAACTGTAATTAAGCTTATATAATAAGAAAGAAGAGATAATAAGAAGAAAGTTTGATGAATAAAGAGATGGAAAAGGAAATAAATGCATGTTAATATTTATTGATAAAAAATAATTTATATTGAATTTATTTTAATGTAAAAATGTACACACAATTGTTCATTTTGAATGGAGGTTTTGAAAGCGGGTTAAGGCAATGTTACCACATCTCTAGACAGAGGCCCAGAGATAAAGATAAGAGCCGAAGGGAGGGAAGAACAAAAAAATAACAGAGAAAAGTAAAAGAATGGAAGGAAAATTGTCGCGTTCAGCAAAGAAGATTACATCGTCTTCCATTCAAGAACTCTCCCAGCTTGCTCAGAGATGCAACGCCATAAACCTCGCCGAGGGCTTCCCTGACTTCCCCGCCCCTACCCATATCAAAAACGCCGCCGTTTCTGCCATCAACTCCGACTTCAACCAGTACAGGTTTCTACTCTTTACACAACTACAACTCCTGCCATAACCTCTTTCTGTACTTCATATACATGTATCTTCATTCTTTCAACAATCCATGGAAACTACTCTTTGTAATTCGAGGCACGTGCAAGGTGTGTGTGATCACGTGGCTAGGATGGTGAAGGAAATGCACGGCTTAGACATCGACCCTCTTACGGACGTCGCCATTTGCTGCGGTCAAAGCGAGGCCTTTGCAGCTGCAATCTTTGCAAGTGTGTTCTCCTCTGTTCTGTTGTTTTGTTAGTTTACGAGCTTCGCGGTTATATGTTCTGTTCTGTTCTGTTCTGCTATTCGTTGAACTTGAATGTTGTGTTTCAAACAGCAATTGACCCGGGTGACGAAGTTATTCTATTTGACCCTTCGTATGAAACATATGAAGCATGTGTTACCATGGCTGGGGGAGTCCCTGTAAGATTGCTATCTTGAACCTTGTTTAAGTGTATATAGATACAAGTTTAAAATCATTTTCAACAGGAGAAAAAAATAAAAACATGCGTCCCAATGCATATACATGTTTGTTATTTCCGAAAGTGTTGTTGATTTTACAGTTTATGATTTTGTCCTTTATGTAATGTGGCATTGTTGTTGTAAACTTAATTGGACAGATTCACGTGCCACTTGACCCGCCTCAATGGACCCTGGATTCAAGCAAATTACTGAGATCATTTACTGAGAGAACTAAAGCCATTGTGCTGAACAGGTTAGAAATTACGCAATTCATGATTCCCTTCACTTTAGATGGACTTCACCCTCATTGGGAAGCCTCGGATTAGTCTCCTTGATATCCTTAAACCGTTAAACCAATTGGATGAATAAAAATGTGAATGAGAAATGCTGGTGCTATCAATTGATTGTTCAATCTAGTAGTCATTTGAATTCTTTTTTTTTTTTTTTTTTTTTTTTATAATTTTTTTTTTTTTTTTTTTTTTTTTTTTTTTTTTGCTATCAATTGATTGTTCAATCTAGTAGTCATTTGAATTCTTTTTTTTTTTTTTTTTTTTTTTACAAATGTTTTTTTGTGTATTTTGATGTCAAGTATTCCCAAGGATTACGCTTCTGATATGCCCAATTTTTGTGTGGAAATTGCAATGCTTGAAGAAGTTTGATGTGTTCTGTTTGTGTTTCATTTTTCTGTGGTTCAAAATTTCTCCTTCACTGGGTCTATATCAAAATAAGTAAAGCATTGAGGAGATACTTATTTTCTTTCATTATTTTGGATGCTTGAAGAGACTGTGTTATAAAAACAAACACTCACTACAAGTTTTTTGTTATGCATCACAATGTAAAAGAGAAGTTTAGTCTCATGGTATAAACTACAAAATGCTGACATAATCTTTAAACAGTCCCCACAATCCTACTGGCAAAGTTTTCACAAAAGAGGAACTGGAGATTGTTGCTGGAGAATGCTGCAGTCGGAATTGCCTGGCTATAACAGATGAAGTATGACACTCCTTCACTTTTTACTGAATACTGATATAACTTCAATTTCAGGATTCAAACATTATATTTGTGGGATGAATAGAAATAGATATCCATGTTCCATATGAATCTTCATCTGCCACTGCTATTTAGTATTTATTGTAATTAAAGGAAATATGCCCTAGAGGCTAGAGAACATTGCACACATATGTTGTTTTTAGGGGGCCACAACTTATACATGATAACTATCTGATGACAGTATTTTATTTCCATATTTATTGGTTTTCTTGGACAAAAAGTTATCACTGTTTATTTGCTGTTTAATTCGGATTATCACACTTCTCTGCATGAATTTGCATAAGCACAAGAAAAACTACTGGGAATTTAGAATTTGCATGAGTAGAATATTTGTCTAGAATTTTAAATTTTAAATAATGTAATGTTTTGCTTTCTTTTGGATTCTTTATGTAGGTATATGAGCATATAACCTATGACTACCTAAAACATATATCCCTTGCCTCATTTCCTGGAATGCAAGAGCGGACTGTCATAACATCATCTCTGTCTAAATCATTTAGTGTCACAGGTAAACTGGTCAAAGCTGCATGAACCAAACTACACTGGAAGTTGTTTTTTTTTGCTTTCTCGTAATTTCTACGAAGAATGGCTTTAACTCTCTGTTGGTCTGTGTCATGTATCAGGTTGGAGGGTTGGATGGGCAATTGCTCCAGCTTTTCTTGCATCTGCTATCAGAAATATTCACGCAAGAGTTACAGATTGTGCTCCAGCACCTTTTCAGGAAGCTGCGTTGAGCGCTTTGAGAAGTCCCCCTGAATACTTTGAATCACTCAGAAGAGTAAGAATCGAAAGTACATTTTAGGAGACAATGTACTAGTAGTGATTGTTCTATACAACTAGAAATAGTAGAACTTTGATGTCTTCGTTTGCTCCCCTTTCCACAGAACAAAAAAATAAGTCATAACAATGCTATGTTTCTTACATGTCTTTTTCGTGATATTTTACTCTTTTTTTATTTTTTATTTTTATTAATCTATGCAGGATTATCAATCAAAAAGAGACTATATAATCAAGTTGCTAGCGGGAGTAGGCTTTAAGATAGAGTTTATACCTCAGGGTTCATTCTTCTTGTTTGCTGAACTTCCTGACAATTGCTCCCTTTTAGATGTATGTGCAATCTTTACTCTCTCTTGGTAGATATCAGTTTAAGAACTTTTTCAACTGTCGCAGTCCTTAACTCCATTAATCTGGGAATTTTCTGCTATACATAAGTCCATTATTCTACTATTGCTTTCTAGCAATAAATGTTTTTTGTTCACAGGTAGAATTTGTCAAGAAACTAATACTAGAAGCAGGGGTTGTGGCTGTTCCAGGACAAGGTTTTTTTCATTCAAACCTTTCATCAAGTGAAATTTCTGATTTAAGTTGCTACTACCAGAGGAGATACATCAGGTTTGCGTTCTGCAAGAGCGATGCAACTTTGACTATGGTTGCAGAAAGACTAAGTAAGCTTTTGGATGCTGAAGGGCATCTTGTACTACGTTAAATTCGGAGAAAGAATAATGGGTGACAGGAACAATTATGATCGAGGATGGTCGATTAATAAAGCTTGCATTACATATTCATTTGACCTAAAACTGAAATAAACTAAGCTTGTATTTGATGTATTATTGTCAAAAGTTGAAATGTATAACCATGCAATCCCCTCCTTCGAGAGAAAATATTCGGTAGTCATGTACCACATGTCCACATGCAATCCCCTCCCCAATTAATTTGTGTTGACTTTTTTTTTTGCGTAAACTAAAAATTTTAAATACATATCGATATATATTATGTAGAGATTGACGGGACCAAGAACATTTAGTGAAAATTAAAATCCACCTCTTGGATCCTTGGAAAATCATGCAAATGCAATGCTTATGTTCGACTGGTTTAACTGGATCAACCTGCTTTTTTGTTGAAGCTAATAAATGTAGGAGATAAAAGCATGTGCAATTATTTTTTTTGTGAAATTTCGTTGGCACCTATCTGTATATATATCTGTTTAGTCCAAGAACATCGCAAGAGATTATAATAAAAATTAAGGGATGAATATTTAGCAGTTATCATTTTATTTTAATTTTTGAGCCTTTTCACGCTAGTCCACCTGATATAATTTTTTTAAGGTTAAAACCCTATTTTGGTCCATTATAATTTTTTTTTGTTTCAATTTAGTCCCTCATTAATTTGATGTGTTGTATGCTGATCTTGCTGAACTTAATGATGTGTTGATAAGCTGTAGCTGTTTATAATTTCTGTATTTATATATATATGTTGATTCTTTTCACTAGCTTACCCTTGTTGTTTCCATGTGGTTTGGACTGCAATGATCATACTGTGTATCAGAGCAGAGCACGGATAGGTTGGTGTATTGAGGCAGGTTTGCAGCTGGCAGATGGAGCTGATGTTTGTTATTTTTGGCTACTTAGTGTAGCTATTTTGATGTATTTTGTACATTGATTTGAGCCCCAAGCAAGACATATGTGTATATACTTTATTTTTATATATGTATGCTCTATTATGTAGGCATGGAAATCTAACCCGCCCCCGTGGATACCCGCCCGAACCCGCCCCGATTTGGATGGAGAAAACTCGTATTTATCGGGTTCGGGTTCGGATTTTCCC